GAGTGTGTGAGTGTGTGTTTCTGTTTGTTTCTTTCAGTGTGAGTGTGTGTTTGTACATGTGTTTCCCATAATCATTTTTGTTGCTTTTTTCTGGTTTTCTTTACAGAACCTTGTGACATCAACGCCATTATAGCAGTACGGTGATGCAATCTAGACGGATAACCCTGTACGTCACAGTCTTGCTTGTGTGAGTATGGTCCCTTTGTTCATGGTTTCATACGAAGTGATTTAGATCTATTAACTGATTTCCCACTTACACCCAAGGTCATCAACGTCATCATCTAAGTGTGATAAAAAATGTTACAAGTCCCCCCCCCCCTCTCACAACTCCCTCCGCAAATATAAAAGAAATATCCTGCACTCCCTGATCTTTCCACCAACCTCCTGCCACCCAACCCCTGGGGTGATATTATTTAAGTTTAATGAACACAGTAATATAAATAGATGGAAAACTCAGGGAAGCGCTTAAACATCTATGGTATGGTATGGGATGGTATGGAATGGTATGGTATGGTATGGTATGGTATGGTATGGTATGGTACGATCAGCAGGCAGACCATTTCATGAATCCTGGAGAGGGGCGAGGAGCAGCTATGGCATTGTGCCGCCTGCAATGATGCCTATTCTCCAACCAAGTAAGTAAGCAAGTAAGTAAGCAAGTAAGTAAGTAAGTAAGTAAGTAAGTAAGTAAGTAAGTAAGTAAGTAAGTAAGTTAGTAAGTAAGTAAGGTAAGGTATGGTATGGTATGGTATGGTATGGTACGGTATGGTATGGTATGGTATGGTACGGCATGGTATGGTGTGTAAATCAGGAACTCAGAAACAAGAAACACGATAAAGATTTTATATATTACTACTAGTGTACTACTTTATGGGTCCGAAACATGAAACCTCACAAAAGAAATTTCTAAACAGCTATAGGCATTTTGAAACAGATTCAGAAGGTAGATCCTAAAACTTCACTGGCCGGGAACCATACGGTATGAACAGTTGAGGGATCAAGAGAATAAGCAGAAAAAAATAGATATAGAAACTCTTAGTAAGAAAAAAATAGAACAGGATTGGACACATCTTCAGGAAACTGAATACGAATATTACCTTATAAGTCTTAAGATGGAATCCACGACAAAAGAGAAACAGAGGAAAGCTTAAAATCACTTAGAGGATCTTAGAGGAAGGAGTTAGATTCTGAACTAAAAGAGATGGGGCACAGCTTGACAGAGATGGGGACTATAGACCAACACAGGGATCTCTTGTTTATGGATTTTTATTCCGGTACGGGGGGAAGGGGGGGGGGAGGATGGAAGATGATTATCGAAATACGTAAAACGTGTCTTTCATGCATAACGACACTATGAAATGGTGAAATTACGTGTGCAGACCTCGAATGGAGGGCTAAGGTTTACTTTTATCGTACCAGTATATAATAATAGATATTAACATTACTTACTTACCACTATTTAACAGTCAGTACACGCGAGTGACTTGGCTAGCGGTAGACTATGCGGAAAGGTAACTTTGTCCTTTAACTAAGTTCCTAGAACATTGGTATAATTGGGATTCTATCTCAGAGTTTTCATTGTTACGTCAGTGGTATGATTTTTCTGGTGTTTAGTATTGTTGATTTTGTTTTGGTCATCTGATCTGGTTTATTCTTTCTGTTTCATTCAGTATTTCTTTTGTCTTATTGTATTCCCCGACAAAATAAGGACGTTTTCAATGAAAGCTTATAAAAAAACTACAACTCATTCTATTGTTGTTGTTTTTTTTGTTCGTTTGTTTGCTTGAGTATAGAGAAGCATATCAGCACGATAAAGGTCATTTAGTTATGAAAAAAATGTGAGACCGACAGAAAGAAGCAACAGAGGAAAAGCAAAGAAGTATGACCCACCAGTGACGCCCTCCAACCACCCTCAGCCAGAGAAGGAACCTTTGTCCTTTGTCTGTCAAATAAAGTCCTGGAACACAGATA